TCTGCAGCTTCTTCTCAACCTGGCAATAGCAAACTAGCGAGAGTGCTGCTTGGAAGCTATAAATGTGCTCCCAGCTGGAACGGGAGCTTTGCGGGACAGTTTAGCGCTGGCTGTAGGGTAACGTGTCCCTTCTGGGTAGGGGATGACGCGTCCTGGCTAGCAGTGGAGGTGATAATCCATGCTATAGACTGATGTGCCCGAGTGCAGGCTTTCTGGAGGCTTCAAATTGGTCAAATACTGAATTATTACTGTAAAAACGAATTCTGAGGCGAACCGGTCAATTCTTTTTGGTTCAGCCCTGGGCACAGCAAGTTATGGTCCTAGACTGGAAGGACTGGAGTGTTCGATGACTCTGTAGCAGTCAGAGCTTAACTGTGTGCTGAACGTCAAGGGGAAGATGCGATCGACGACGCAGCTCTGCGTCATCTCAGAGCAACGCGCTGAGATTTGGATTGCCCAAGTTGAAGCATGCTGTTGGCGGTGAAATAAGAACCTGGTGCAGGAACAGCCGCTTCAAACTGCTCTTTTTTTTCCCCAAATTGCCTGGTTCCTCACCTCTGGCGCTCCGCGGTGGTCATTCAAGGTCCATCTGTCTCTGCAGGTCGCTCGCTGCAAACAGCTCATCTGTGACCCCAGCTACGTCTCGGACCGCGTAACGAAGGTCGGCCAAGTGATTCGGGTAATCTGCATCTTGAGCCACCCGATCAAGAATACAAATGATGCCAACTCGTGCCAGATCATCATTCCACAGAATCAGGTCAACCGAAAATCAGGTGTGTAGAGAGCAGGGGCTGCGGGGGCACGCGCGGGTTCTCTTCGCGCTCGGCTTGAGGCAGAAGGGGTTGTTAAATGGCCTTGCACCAAATCCATGGCGCGGCGAGATGTGAATCAAACGGGGAAAATGGCATTTAGTGCCATTCCTACGGCAGACTTCTCGTCCAGAAATCCTTTAGGCCCCAGCGAGGTTGTGCTTCAGTTGAGGGCAGCGGTGAGGGCGGTGGGAGGAGCTGGGGTGCTTGTGGCTGGAAAGTCGCGTGAGGAGCCCGCTGAGGGAAGTGCCCCAGCCTGGGAGGAGTGGGTGAGGAGCACGGCGGGGGGTGCTCTGGGAGGGGATGAGGACTGCGTGCAGGAGGGGAAACGCTTCCTTGCCCTTGAACGGAGGGGTGGGCTGGTGCTGGGGACCCCACTGGCTTTCAGGAGCCATCACGGCCACAGGGAATTGAGTTTTGGAGGGCTCACAGAGTTGCTCCTGTCCAGGGCCCTCAGCCAGGAGGCTGCAGGCGTGTAGGACTGCAGGGCAAAGACGAAACGCGTTCTAGTGTGGTCTTAAATGAGACGATCAGGTTGGAAGCGTGAGGGGAGCAGGAAGAGGCGTGCGTGTAAGCTAGAGGAGGCTTTTGGGACCAGCCCTGACCCAGGCCGCCGGCTTGCCTGGCCCACGCTGACCCGCCGCTGTGATGTGCTTCCCCAGATATCTACGTCTGCATGATCTCCTCTGCGCACAACGTGGCAGCGCAGGGGAAGTACATTGCCATTGCCAGCACCACCGTGGAAACCGCGGACCCAGAGAAGGAAATCAAGCCGGCCTTGGACCTCTTGGAGCCCATTGAGCAGAAGTAAGCCCTCGACGAGCCCCCTCTCCTCCTTCTCACCTCGCCGCTCTCCGCTGCGAGTGCTTGGGCCTGAGGCACGAAGGCGGAGGGGGGCTGAGGGCCGTTTGCCTGGATGGAGGTGTTGAAACTCTGAATTTCCTCTGCGCCTTGACCGCTTACGCACTGGGCAGAGCGATGCCCTTAAATTCAGCCGTTCTTGCGCCCGTACTGATGCTCTAAAACCATTCTGAAGCTTTTTTTTGTTGTTGTTGTTGTTTTCTCCTTTCCAGGTTCGTTAGCATCAGTGACCTGTTCGCACCGACCGACTTGGGAACCGAAAGCCAGGTTAGTAAGTGTCGAGCTCGCGTTTGAGGTGGTGAGGGAGAGGGGGCTCGACGCTAAACCGCTGCTTCTCTTTCCAGATCTTCATTTCTCGCACCTATGATGCCACCACTCACTTTGAGACGACGTGCGATGACATCAAAGATATTTATAAGAGGATGATGGGATCAGAGTTTGACTTCGAAGAGATGAAACGCAAGAAAAATGATATCTATGGGGAGGAGGAGCAGCAGTAATGAGAATCTCTAATTAGGAGAAATTTAAATCGGCTAATATGAATATATAAGGAACTTAATGAACACTGTATGAAATTCAATATTGTAAGGCCTGCTTTTGTAATCCCATCTCTGAGAGATTGAAGAGTACTGCACTGGTAATGTTCCCCTTTTGGATATCATGTGTTAATTATTTCATTCTAGTAGGGCTGCTGTCCAGAATCTGGCAAATTACTGACTGATTTAACGACTAACCTCGTAAGCGAAAGGCAGACTGAACCTTTTTTTTTTTTTTTTTTTTTTTTGCAGACGTAGATGTTGGTGCAGATTTGAAATAACTCATTGACAGCTGTGTCTTACCTTGTCTTTTTAATCATTTGTAAACGTCCTTCACAATTATGTGCTTCTGGTGAGCTAGTAGATGTGACGGTTGTCACTCAAACCTGATATCAAGGAAAATAGAAACTGAGCACTCCATTATTGTGGACAGCATCCCTAAAATCTCTTCCCATCAATCTAACTCTGTGGCAAGTTGTATTATGGACAAAGCCCACATCTATTGTAGCAGCAAATGTTGGCTTAGTTCTGGGCACAGAACTTAACCTCCACTTAAGCTTCTAAAACTGTTTACATCGGTTGGGACACAGCTGTGCCTAAGGCTCCTTTGTGTTTTAATCTTAATAAAATTGAGAGAACAAATTACAGAGCAGGCAAGATGTGGAAGTATTTTTCTGTACCCTGGTGGCTTCTCGGATGGACCAAACAAGCGCTGCGGTATCGATATGACAGAGCCTGTGCTTCTCGTGTCTCCTGAAGGCTCCAAATGATTTCTGTACTGCGAAGTAAAGCCAAATTCTGGAAACCAGTCCTGTGCTCTGGTCTGATTCACTTCAGTTGTACGAGCCATCTCCTTTTCGAGATCCCTTGGATCTCTGCCCGCCAGGCTTGAAACGGGAGCGGTGCAGGATGTTTCTTCCTAGAAAACAGGCTCAGACTTCCTCGGTTGGGCTCCCCAGCTGCTCTCGGGGCTGCTTCTGCCAGGGGAGAAGATGCAGCGGCACAAGGCTCGTCTCCGTGGGTAGGCGCAAGCGCGTTCGCTCCCTGCAGCCACCCCCTGGTGCCTACACCCAGAAATAGCACTCGCTTGAAGCAGTAGTAAATCATTCTTGCTCTTACGGCTCCTGTACGGGGCATTCATCGCTTTCTGAATAAGAAATGAGCCTTATTCAGCCCCTGGCTCCGATCTCGCAGCCTGAATCCTGCTGTCGGGCGGCAGGAGTAGAGCAAGGAGCGGGGCTTGTGTTTATGTGCAGCAATGCTGCGTGCCGGGAAAAATGAGAGAAATGCCTCGGACCAGCTTTGTCCTGCCCTCAGCTGCTGCGTGCAGCCAGGTAGGGCGGCTGGTGAAGATTCCTCCTGCCCCTCGGCCGTAGCTGTGTTGCCCTCATGCCGCTGCTGAAGAGGAACCGGATCTTTGACCGCATCTCATTTGCAAAGCGGGGCTGCGCTAAACCCGGCCACGGCCGCCCCTTCCCTTCCTCCCTCCCAGGGTTTAGGGGCTTTTGGCACTTCCTCTCCCCGGGGGGCCAGTTCCAGGAACCGCCTTCCCTGTGCTGCTGGAGTGAGGTGCGTAGTGCTGCCTGGCCAACTTCTCCCTTGCCCTGCGCTTCCTCTCTTGAGTTGCTTCAAGTGCTCACGGCCACCAAACGAGCTCCTTCCCCTCAATGCTTTGGTTACCCTCCTCTGCTGTAAGCCGGTTATTCCTCCGGCTCTCGGTACACCTCTCCCTTGGGGACAGGAGAGGCTGGGTGCTGTGCAGGAGACCCAACCCCAGAGGTTTTGTTTTATGAAACGCTATACAAAGTCATCCCGTATATAACATCTTGCATCCTTTTATTTAAAAAAAAAAAAAAAAAAAAGACAACTGTGTCGTCCACATCCATAGATAGGGGATCTTAGAAACATCTTTAACACGACATTTTCTTCCCAGCATATGTTTGAGCTACCATAAATAAGAGCTGTTTGTTCTTGTACCTGTTGTCCGGCTAGTGACAAGACTTCCACGTGCTGGAATGTGCTCGAGTCCCAGCAGTGAAACGGTACCAAGAGGCGATGGGGGGGGGGGGGGGGAGTTTAAATGGGG